CAATTATTAATCTTGTTAAAGTCCATTATTCATTCTCGATTTGTGGACCTTTAAATAATTCATTATTTTGTTGAAAATGTAGCATGCAATTCTGAAAAAAAAGGATAAATAAATTAACTTACGTTCTTTTTTTTTTCGATACGTAAATCAGGAAATGGCTTTGATAGCTTTTATAGTTCCTTCAGATAATTGCCTTTTTGCATAATCCAATATGATCTTTTTCACTTTAAGTCTTACCTAGAAAGGAAGTAAATTAAACGGTATTGAATTTTCAAAAATCTATATTAATACATGTACTAGCTTGCTTAAAGAACATATTAACTGGTTTTGTTCAAGTTGAATACAAAAGAGAACAAACGCTTAAAAATCATGGGTTTAATTCCAGTCTGACTGGTGGTGCTGGTGTTGGTAGTTTTCCCTTCGTATCACGACAGCAAAACCACTTAGAGTTCACCAGAGCACAGGCCAGCTACCACATCGTTCTCGAGCAGGTTATCATATAGTTTGCTAGTTTATCTTCATTGTCAATCAAGGAACTGATAACTTCTTACATTCTAGAGCAGAGGTGCAGTGCAAATGATCGTAGAAAAGATTTCATGATCAATCACAAACAAATGACCTGCACTGTCCGGGAATCGAACCCGGGTCGCCCGATTCAAAATCCAAAGCTCTACGAGTTCAGCCAATCGGACGATTACTGAATCTGAGTAAAATTCAGCATGACTTTAATCTAATTGATGAAAGTTCATATCACCCTTATGTTTTTGGTTTTTTTTTTAATCAAAAGTGATATAAGTAACGTACAATCTGACCAGGCTCTAAACTGTCGGCAGACCAGCTTCAAATTTTCATCTTGATATCCCCGAAACCGAGATTAACTTTTTCGAGCATTAACATAGGCAGAAGCACGATAAGGCATTTAAAACCCGAATGATTTAATAGAGCCCGAAAACTGCCGCTTGTCATGAATAAAGTATACGTGTACCTAATTCGGTTATTCCGCGTTTCGACCTTTTTTGTTTGTTTATAGTTAAAGAAATAGGTATCGTAATGCTTTGTTATTTTTACGCACGTATATATTACAGAGCCAATTATTTTTACGCGCCTGCCATGGTCGCACGTTCCAAAGAAGTGCACGTTTGAAACGTTGCTTTTCATTGGCTAATCGTGACGTTTATAAATATATATATTTTATCATATACCCGTGCCGATTTTGCAACTATGTAAAAACGATATTGCACATAAATATTGACTTGACATCATTTTCGTTATAAACACATAGTGTAAAGACGCGCTAATGTGAGCGTTACACTATATTTTCCAACTTTTAAACACTTTTTAGTTTTGGATATGTGATAAATAGAATTTTATATTCGTGCAAGTTCAATACTGAATTTATTGAACTCGTTTGAGGCTTGCACAATATAACTTAATTCATCTCGTTTAATAAATTCAGTATTGTACTTACACTTGTGTGTGTATTTGAGTTTATTTTTACTCGCCAAGGGTTGCCCATATGGGCGGGTCCTCCAGAAGAGTATTAAGTAATTTTATATTTTTGAAGGATAGTGCAAGATACAGAAAGATACCCCAATTCCAAAAGATTGTTATGGTTGTTTAACGTTCCAAGTGTTTAAGCACTCATACACGGAACTCGATTTAAAGTCTCATCCGATCGATATTATGTTCTAAGAATTTCCTTGAGAGTGCAGTTCGGTATATACTATTAAATGCTTTCTCTTGTAATCAATATAAGAGCAATATAATCTCTTCGATAAGAAAATAAAGTATTTTACGGACAAAATATGATCCGTTGTTCCATAACCATTTCAAAACCATGCCTGTTCCTCAAACAATAAGCCAGATTCTTCTAAACAATATTAAATTCTAGAATTTAACACTGATGTGAACGATTTACCAGGACAACTTAAAATGGTTATGCCTCTATAATTATCAGCATTATTTTCGTCCCATTTATTTATATAAATAAGTAACAATATACACGTGCACATTGTATCTAGAACAATTCCTGTTTCAAGTAAATAAAAGATTAAATAAGCTGCAATGTAATGACAATAACAAATATTTTGAGTATTTTAGTAAATTATTTTTAGGTAAACAAGCTTTGATATTTCATTAAGTTTTGATAGCTTTATCAATTTCTAAAGTAGTGAATGACGGATTTAATATATTATTGAATGCTGAAAATGATTCAATATCAAATGCTGTAAATAAATCTTCACTGTCACCAACATTATTTATTTAACGGAAATGATCATAGAATGCTTCTAACGAAACTTTGTTCATTACCTATTTCCATTCTCCTGAATATTTATTGAGAAGACACCAGTATTCCCTTGGTTGTGTACATCTAAGACTTTTCAATTTTTATAACATTGCTTTCTTCGTAATTCCTATGTTTAGTATTTAATAATTTCATGTTCCTCCTACTACACATTTTCAGATTTATTACATTATTTTGCGTGCGAAAAATTCTGTATTTACGCTTTACGATAATACTCCTTTTGAATTTCCCTACATTCTAAGACAAACCTTATTTTTCACTAAAATAGAGAAAAAATAATAATCCCTAACGAAAGCCCAACACGGCAAAATTTTAAATGTTGCAGGCTGGGTTTGATTGAGCCTGTGTATGGTCCTTGTTAATCTTGTTTATCATATCTTATTCTCACCAGAACTATTTCATCGTGTTAAATACTTTAAAATCTTACCATTTGGTCCTTTTATCGTATGATGTACACCATGCGTGTCTTCTACACTGGAACCTGGTATAAATCAAACTGTATCTCGAACATTGGATAGTGATCAGTGATGTAATCCTTAATGTGATGTAGTTGAACCATTTTGGATTCTTAAAATTCAGATGAGTTTCTAAATTGTATAAATTGTGAAACTGTTAATAATATTCATTCATCAATTGCTTCCCATAGTAATGAAGGTACATGTACATTTGCCTTATATATTAACAAAGTCACTATTGAAGCTAGTGATATACTTACTGCTGATGCTGAAAAATATAATTTTAAGACAAAGTCAATTACACTAACACCCTTGCATGTTGTTTCACCAATGTAAGCATCTTTACATAATCTACCATTGGCTTTATAAACATCGTTAGACATACAAAAATCAATAGGTCTGCGGCCAAAATGATTCCAAAATTTGTATTCAGAGCATTTTTCTGTAGGAAAACCAGAGTATCAAGATTATTTCTATTTAACAGCTGTTTGGTTTCATATTCAAACAAACAATCTGAAATGTACCTATCAATTACAGTAAAATCTGGAAGAGTACCAGTTCTTGCATTTAGATCCCCAAGCATGCATACAGAAAATTTTCTAGTTTGATACTAATAATATACGCCTCAATCCTATCAAAAATATCAATATTTGAAAAGTTACACCCTTCAGGAGGGGTATAAATAGCTCCCAAAGATACATTTCATATAAAAGACACTCTCATCAATTTGAAACCATATACAATTTTCAAAAGAATTATCAAAGAACTTAACTTTATCACAAATATCATTTTTAATTTGACTTCAATACATCCATACTTTTTTAATAAAATTTCCTACTTAACTCATAAAATTTATGGTTTTGCACTGCAATACTGTCATAAACATCTAACTTAGTTTCTAACATCACATTTCTGAATGAACTCTTCAAACTCTTAAAAAATAAGTTTAGAATAAAGTCCAAAAATATTTAAAGTAACAAATTTTAACTTATGAACATAACTTAAACAATAGGAATGGTCAAAAGTATCTATCCCTTTAAAATGCTTCTTAGCAGACCTCACAACAAAACTAGCATCCTCCTCCTCCTATTCAAGTGACTGTAGTCCCAAATCCTTTAAGTCAATGTCAATACCTAATGCATGAAAATCATCTGGAGGAGTAACTGAGAACTGCTGTTTTCCCTTTGTACAAAAGAGTACCCCATCACGAGAATATACATTAGAAACACCAGGAGTGTCCTTCAACACTGATTTCTTTCTCGCCTTAAGTTGTGTTAAGTCATCAGAAATAAAAATGTGTTTGTATTTCACATAAGAAACAAGATTTTTTTTCGATCTGAGTACCTGCAGAACATTATACCTTGAAACGAAACGACACTTATTTGTCTGACTTGGCCGTAAGATTTCTTCTTTCCTACTCTGTGACATGCACTGAGGTGACTTTCATATAACATGATACTTCTAGAGCGTGATGAGTGATCACTCCTAGAAACAGACTCTGAATAACTTTCAGAGTTTACTATTTTTACAGGAGTGCATTTCTAGCCACTACACTGACATTTACACACGAATCGTCGATACCGATGGTTTATTGAACATTACTGATCGAGTTACACGCGGTTTTGCACAGAATGAGTAAGATAAAACAATTTGATTAGAAAAGGGGGGTGTCCCTAAATTTGAGCCCAAAATGGAGAAATTTTGGAATCAGACTGCATTAAGACCTCTTTTTAGAAAGAATCCCCCCGGGAAAATCCATAAGATTTCAGGAACCGGGGAAGGAGTCGAGTTCTTTCTTTACACTGTGAAAAGAGGGCGTTGAATTTAGGGGGAGGGGAGCATTGGAGATGAGAGCGGCCGGGGCGACCAGAAGAGGCACCAAACGATAAAACTGCCAAAGTTGTGCACGATAGGGTCATGGCGACAGAAGGCGAGTCCTGCGAACATTGCTAGAAAAGGGGGGTTTAAAGCTTTGGTTCTTTCAGGCAATTTTGACTGATAATAGGAAAATGTCAAAGTTTCGTAGGTGGGTCCCCAAAAGGCAGTTGACGACGACCAGAACGGCCAAGACTTAAACAGTTCAAAATATCTTTTGCCTCGCTACTAGGATGAACCTGATTTTATCTACTCAGGATGAAACATGGGTCCATCAGTTCGATCCAGAATCCAAAAAACAGAGCATGGTGTGGAAGCAACCTGTCTCATCTTATTCGAAGAAATTCAAGAGAGTGCCGTCAGCAGGGGATATGATGACTACAATGTTTGGGATAGTCAGGGGATAACCATGATTGACTATCTTGAGCAAGCCCGTACCATGAATGGTATGTACTATGCAGACAAATTAAGACGTCTGCGTCAAGAAACCGCGCATAAAACAAGGGGCAAACTGACTCAAAGCGTTCTGCCCCTACACGCCAATGCGATGGTTGCTTCAATAGACTTCAATAGACTGCGGCTTTAAAATTCTTCCCTTTTTCCCATATCCTCCTGACTTTGCCCCCTCTGACTTTTACCTATTCCGAAACTGGAAACCAAGCTTATAGACGTTTTGGAAGCAATGAAGGTGTCAGGGAGGTTCTTTGAGGACCAAAATAGAGAGTTTTATTTTGAAGGGTTAAACAAATTGAAGCACAGGTGTGTAAAGTACATTGATGTAGAGGAAGATTATAATGAAAAGTTATTCCATTAGTTGGGTTCTCTGACTACTAGGAAGTACAATCGGGTCGAGAAACCTTTTGATCAGATTCTCGATCTTGTCTTGCAACTGTGCCTTGTCCAAGGTAATACAAGTTTGAAGTTACTAGCTTTAAAAGTGTTCAACGATCATTCAACTTAAATAAGAAATTTTGACTTCTGCTTAAATAGGGGGTATTACTATAAACTTACAGCTTCTTAAATAATGATCCTTGTCTTACAACTTGCCTTGTCAATATAATACAAGCATTCAGAGTTGCATGTTGATTTCTGTCATATTTTGTGAAAAATAATTTACTTAATAGCATTTTGAGTTGAAAACTGGATATTACTGCAGAAAATATAGCTTTTAGAATAATGCCCATTGTCTTAACAAATTTTCTTTTGTCATGATAAGGAGCGTTCATGTTCAAAAACTGTTCGGGATAATGGGCTATATTAAAGTTTTGCACGATATTCGAGGATGACGATGACGACGCCGGTTCTAAAAACGTGTTGTTTTTTGCGAAACAGACGAAATAAAATAACCTTTTATTAAATGGTAGCAAAAGCAAGTATCTCTTACAATCATTTCTATTTATCAAAAAATATGCGTATATTTGACAAAAATAAAACCTTGGTTGTTCACGGAGATATACAGTACAACTCTGCGAAGCGTTACCCTTTGGAAGAAGAAACAACAGAAAAATAAAGAAAAGACAACATAAATATACAACAAAAAGTCAAATTGTGGATATTGTAAAGATGTGTAGTATTTAATCTATTTACTTGGTCTTATTTTTGGGGACAATTATACTATTGTTGTAAAGCCGTTATTTCTTTACAAATTGCCGCTCAGTAGAAGGTACACAGTGCAGTTTGATTGTGTGTCTGGTTTTACACATTGTTGAGTTATATCTTGGTGGTTGTTCAGTCTTAATGGCTTTCCGGATAACTAACCAGTAACTACCCATTTGTTTGCAAGCGAACGACTTCTTATCTCACATCATTTTTAAATCAACAAAGGAGGCAAATAAGAAGTAGAATCAGCGTCCTAGATCAAGTGTCACGGACATTGAAAAGCAAGTAGGAAAATACAAAATAAAGAAACACATTTTTATATACCGAATAAAAAGAAAGAAAAAAAAACATTTCACAGAGTATCTTATCTTTAGATTGAAACGTTAAAACATTTAAATCAAATTATATAGAGGATATTGAATGAGTGTAGGTTTAATACTAAATGTATTGAACGAGTTTAATAAAATCATATTATGCGAGCCTTTGGTGAGCATAATATTGTTTTAATGAACGAGTTCGATAAATTTTAGTATTAAATCTCATACCGAATATAGTAATTCTTTTTATCAATAATTATATAAAATAAGAACGGTAAAACTGTTAATAAGTGTCATTTTTATTTGACGCGTCTATAGTGTAACGCTAATATTAGCATGCTTTAACGCTATGTCTATAGCGCAAATGACGTTACGTCAAAATGTTATTACACTAGTGTAATATTGTCTAGTGTAATATCATTTTTATTTTATTAAATGGCTTTATTACACTCCTGCGCCGCGGTTTATGTGATAATAAGATTTGAAAATATATACATAAAACATTATTATATAATTTTGCTATTGCCACGTTACACCAATCACAATGTTTACAGTTTATTGATTACAAGAAGTCAGTTACAAATAAGCCAGATCGTTACTGGATTTTATGAAAACATGAAGATTCCCTGGTTGAATGACGTCTTTTTCGTTCCTCCTTCCAAATAAATCACATTTGATTATTTCCCCTTCTTCGTTACCAGGTTCCAGTATTCTCGCCACACCCATAAAGTCATCTACTAACATGTTACTGTTCCAAACCTGAGGTAATAGACAATCATAAAGCAAAAAAATAGCAACCAATTACTATCATTTTACGATTTATTATTATACATTCGCAGATTTGCTCTGACAACATTTATAATTATTCATTTGCAGGTTTTCTCTTTTGACACTATTGCAAATTTACTGTCTTTGATTATGTGCCACTCATGTAAAAATGTGAAGTGTTTAATCTTAAAGGGACTCCATTAACTTAAAGGTTTTTCTGAAATCACAGAAATTGAAATAGTTTTTCGAGATTTATGTTCCATTTGATGTAATTTTTGACTACTAACTTAAAGGTTTTTGCAAAATTCCAGATCATTCGCCTACCCCGTTTTCATTTCAGAGTAATTATTCTCATCATAAACAATGAACCGAAATGGGCTTTGGATATTAACACAAAAATACAATTTTCAATTTATTTCTCATTTTATTTCTATATACTCTTCTGTTTATCTTAATGTTTTCAGTGTCTCAATCGATTTTTTCATAAACGACAATTTTTAAAAAAAAAAAGGCCTAAAATGGGTAACCCAAAAACCCATAAAACGTCCAAAAAATTGAACTGTGTTGCACATCATGAACTTTGCTGAGAAAGTAGATCTTTTCATTTTTGATGATACGTGTCAATATACCAACTATAAAATAACCAAAGAATAGCGTACTTTGTCAAGGGATGGGGTTTGATTACTGCGACAAATGCGCTTCTTTTCAAGGCAAGGGAGTGATATATACATATAGCAAAACCCCTAAATTAAGAACATCATCGGGACTTGGTCAAAGTTGTCTGTAGATAGGTGTTGATTCAATATCAGACACCTTTATCGGAACGAAATTTGGCGGTGTTAAAAGTGGACAAGCGGGATGGTCTTACGTCTTGATCATGAAACCATTGAATTATTAATTAAAAAACATTCCGTTCTTTAAAAAATGGCCTTAAAATCGGGATGTTCTCAGTTCCAGGGTGTCTACTGTATTTCACAAGCATACGAATACACGTAATTTATTCATGTTAGCTCAAAATTGAATTCGAACGTGTCAAGTTTGTGGATATACAATATCTTAAATAAACAATCTAGGGCATTTGTGTGGAACTGGGGCAAGTGGTAGGATGCTAACAACAACATTACACAAACCTCAACAATAATGGGATCGGTGTCAGGATGTTTTCTGTAAAATGTTCCTTTTATTTTCCACTTTGGTCTGTCAGTATCCAACTGTTTGTCTGAGACGATTTTCTCTCCCTCGCATAGAATCTTGACGTAAGCATCGATAGCTAGATGATAAAGGCACATTTAGAAAAAATAAAGTGTGTTCATTCAAACAATTTTGAAGTTACTGATGAAGTCAAACGTTTATTCTGTTTTAGGTATTGCACGGTGGTGCATTTTATCCTTACCCTCTCTCTGCAACAAACAGACCGGTAAAACAGACACTCTGGATACCACATCCTTGTTTGTTTCCTTTTGTCAATCAAGAGATATTATTGGATAGATTTTTTTATTGATTTTGACTGCACTTAAACAAGTTCATAATATACTTTAAAAATGAAATATTCAGACATATTGATGAAATTAACTGCGTGTTTTCATTTTCTGTATTTTTTCACAGTTAAGAATTCTTTTTCACTGCAAATGAAACATGTTTTTCCGTTTATTCAATGAAAAAAATTATGTTTTATAGAATAAAGTTCTCTTTCTTTTAAAAAATTGGGGTACATATATTTTGATTTACTATGTTTTCCAAACGTTTCCATTTTTCGATATGAGTGAAAACTTATAAACAATTCTTACTTTTCGACTGATGAACCTGCGGAAGTTCAAGACCAGTAGCACGTTTTATTGTTATTGTAGACACCTGTACTGGGGTTCCACCGATGAATGACGCCGTAGGACATTCTTCTTTAAGCTCCCTATGATAAAAAAGAATATTACTGATATATAAATAAAAACATTACCTAATTGGTCTTTGTATTCCTTTTATTGCACCATCTTAGTCATGATTCGCGGTTTGAGTTAAAAAAAAAAAACTCGCTGGCCCAAAAGGAACAAAGTAGACTTCCCCTTCATGTCTACTTCAATAATAACGAATTATGTTTACAATTTTATAATTCTGTCAAAATAGAATCATTCGAAAAAAAACCTTATGTTTATATTTTTTTCTTCAAGTACAGTTCCATCCATCCGTCCACACCTGACCTTATAATCTTTGATAACTCATTGTACAAGTTATTGAAAAACTACATCAATTTTCAAAACAAAGCGACCCTAAAATGTAAAGGTACGTCTGCGAACCTATGTTGTACCGCGTTCACCGGAAATAGCCTCTTAAATACATCGAAAACGAAATTAAAAGGTGTACGTCGAGTTCACCCGAGGTAATGATTCAACTTATTTCTCCATCATAACTTTATCTATTTTTTCTTAACTAAACAATTTAATGAAGCTTGAATATGTCTGGCTTTAGAGTAGTATTTGCTTTTTTTTCTGCAAAATTGAATACTTTCTGTTAAATTGGCAATAAATTGTAACGTATTTTGATGACATTTGCAGACGATGTTAATATTTACCACTAAATCAAGCCAAAAACGCATTTTCTTGGCGAAATCCGTGGTTTATACAAAATATAGACGACTTCCCTCTACTGCCTTGGAGATGATTACCTTTCAACTCGAGCTGCTTTAAGCAAAATTTTGCGAAAGCGTCTCTATTTGCGTTTTTTTTTTTTGCAGTTACTGTTCTACAAATGGATATAATATTCTTAGATAAATATAATAGACATCGCTGAATTAAAACATTTTTGTTTTTGATAAGCAACCCCCCCAAACGAAAAGTAAATTAAAATTTTTACCTGCCTAGAATGCCGAGTTTGGCGTGTAGAGTCGCATCATAAATGATCCGGTGTCCCCTGCGTCTTTCGTCGTCGGGAAAAGCACGTAGTGTCCTTTCTTCAACTCGACGGACCCAAACACACTTCGTGACCTTACATAATCGGACTTAAACGTCTGATCTCCATTGATATGAATTCTGTATTTCCGATTTTCTTCCACCTGTTGTGTGGTATTAAAACATATAAATTGCAAACGTGTAAAAAATGTATATACACTAGCATTAAACAAGCTTTCATTTGCAAAAAAAAAAGGATTGGAGATTTCTACTCCAATTGAAATACAGTTTAAAATGAGACAAGAAGCGTTGCATTGCGACAAAAACCAGGTTTTCAACCACCAAGTATTGATGTGACAGGAATTAGGAAAGAAATGGCAGTGAAGTAAAACATGATGCTGTTATTTGGTTCCAGTTGTTCAAAAATAAATAAAATAAATATATAGCAGATACCTGTGCAGCAATGCAAGGCTGTGTTTTATGTAAGCTTCACACATATCAAGCGAAGTATCAATTGGTCAAAGTGTACTTAAGTTAAGAAGGAGAAGAAGCTGAAAATTCTATTGAAAGCAAGTGACCTTGAGCTTGCTTCAAGATATTTTATTAGCAATTAGAAGCTACATCTTGATAAAAGCTATCCACACAGTAGTTTGGTGTCCATAGGTAAAAGCAAACTCAGGTTATTAGTGAAGACTGAATTTCGTTTTATGCAATGGTGACCTTGACCTTATTAATAGGCACCTGAGTTGCAATCCAAGCAATCCCGAGTTGCTTCTTGATATAAGCTAGCCGCACACAAAATTTGTTGTAAATAAATCACAGTTAACTGAAGTTGTTATGAAGAAACTGAACGTCTATTTTTGGCAACAGTGACTTTGACCTTAATCAAAGTCACATGAGTAGTTATCCCAAGTAGAGTCTTTATATAAGCTACCACATACCACGTTTGGTGTCAATAGGCCGAAGCAAAGTGATTTTATTGAGCAGAAAATTAATTTATAATTTTAGCAGCAGTAACCTTGACCGTCATCAAACAAACTTGGCTAGCAAATCCAAGAAGCGTCGTGATATTAGCTAGGCACATACTACGTTAGGTGGCAATAGGCCAAATCAAACTCAAGTTTTTGAGCTGAGAGATTAAAAAATGACGACCGCCCGCCCGCCTGCCCGCCAACCGGCTTCGGCATTACAAAAAACAGTTTTCGTTTAAAACCTGGTTTAAAAGTACACGTGCGACTTATCTTTTATTGGATTTGTAGCTACTAAAATTTTGTCACAAATAATTCCTTTCCTGTAGTCTTGTTTTATGATTTATGATATATTTTATAATCAATTTATTAGAAGATTTGTTCTTATTTTTCTTCGTACCTTCATCACTTGAAATCCAATCTCGTCGAGTTTAATACCACGATGTCGTCGAGATTCGTTGATATCATGCTGTTCCAGGGAAACCATGATCTCATCGTTTACTGCCGTTATATCAAACACATACTAGAATGTAAATAATAACATTTTTGTGCAGCTTATAGTTTTAATTATCGACATGGTTTGATAAATATTTATTATATCAATATTAAGTCTTATTATAAAATTTGAGCACTGTCATTATTTATTCAAATGCAAAACAAAGGCATAAGTTTCTTTAGCCTACTAATATAATCTTGTTGACACAATAATGACGTCACCTTCAACTATAGCCAATCACGTGTCAAAAATGATGATGGGGAATAAATCATAACAGCCACGTTTTATCATGTTGACGTTTAAACACATGAAAATCTAACCTGCGGATTACTCAGGAAGGTTCTGGAATTCCAGTCGCTGCCACCATTTGTTCCATCCTCGGCATCCCATTTTCCGTGGAACACACTTTCTTGCCATCTTTTCTTCGGAGAGAAGATGGAGGTGTTCACAAAGTGTAATATATCAAGGCTGGTAAAATTGCTGATGACGTCATTTAGGCTCATCCTGTAATTCACAAGTACGTGAAAATCAATCATATTCAAATTATTCTGCTTATGTTATTTCCAGAAATAAAATATTAAATTCATTACATTTGAATCACGAAACTTCTTTTCTTTGATAAAATATACATATAAACTATTTACATTTTTCACAAAGAAAACATGCCACCGCCGATCGGGGACAACGATCGACTGTTTTGACTTTTCCTAAAAGCAAACAAATGAACGGTTTAAACAAATATTAAATATTATAAAAAACAATACTGTTGTTTTTTATTTTAATAACAAACCTGTCGCCAGTAACAGCAAAAAATGATTTAAGATTTCTATAATTTGACATTTTAATAGTAGGATAACTTATTTGTGAGAGTAGAAGTTTGTCTGGTTTACTTGAATGTCTATCCTCAAAGATTATTGTCATGTTGAAGTTTGAAGAACCCATTCAAAAATAAAAAAGTTATAGTCACTTTTAGCAAAAATCAGCAAAAAACAAGCTGAAATTGAAGTCTGCATGCGCAGGCAAAAAAAAAAAAAAAAGAACTCACAAAAAAAATAATTTTCACCAGTAATCAACAACTTTTAAATTTGATATATTCTAAATGATTAACCATAAGTTAAGATGCATTTGTGAATTAAAAAAAATAAACTTGAGCATTTCTGCATTTACACTTTATTCAGGAGCTTCTTTCAAATTTAAAATACTCTGAATAATGCATTCGATTCTGACAAAAGAGCCGTCATATACATGCAACTGTTGCATTACAGTGTCCTGAACCGCACCACTTGAATATATGAGAATAGGGTACGATGGTTTGCTAGTGTCATTTTTTAAGAACTGACCTCATAAATTATATGTCGTGAATGCGGATTCTTTTGTTAATATTGTCCTTCTATTTTCATACTTCAAGGCTTTAATAAACGTGATTTCAAGTTTTATCACCCGGAAAACAGTAATTAAAACGTTATGTACGTAAATTAAAGGGTTATGTACGTAAATTTATTTATTAAAAATAATTTTAAGAAGATTTGCGGGACTCACTGATCCAAAAGCGCTGTATAAAGTTTCATTTGACCATCAGTAATTTGAATTAAAACAAAGGGGTATGGTGGTTTATTTTTACATTCGTATTTTCGCCCCACTACCCCGCCAAGCGAAAAGTCGAGAATTAACAAGTTAAAATGGCGGGGCGCGGAGTGAAAACACGCTTATCAGCGGAGCTCGGGGCGACGTTTTATTTATTAAATCTCGTCTCGTGGCCCCGCTAATAAGCGTGTTTTCGCTGCGCGCCCCCGCCGTTTAATTTCCTACATCTCGCCCCTTGCCCCCTCGGGCCGATGTTTTGTTTATGAAACTTCGCACTGCGCCCCACGCTAATCAGCGTGTGGTTGCACTACTTTGTTTATATTTTGCTACCTTTACGACACATAACTGCTCATTCAGCCGTATTTTTCTCAGCTGTTAAACAGGTAATATGTTCAAAATCCATTGTTAACACATGACATTTCTAAAAAATTAAACAAGTGGATTCCTGAGGCATGATGTGCTACATTTCTTGTCATATCTTAATACAAATAACTAATTTGACTTGTTTTACACCACGTTATGAGTTAAAACTCTAAAATATTTTTGCACACTTTAATACCATTTATAATTGTTCTAAACATTTAAAATAATTTCAAACGAAATATTTCAGGTAAATCAGAAATAACCCTATGTCATTTTAACGCTTATTTTAACCTTTTTATATAAAAAATGTTTGGTTTCATTTTCCAAAACCGCCCGGATTTATGCCGTTGGGGCGAAATAATGAAAATTCCGATTGGATTTTTTTTCTCATATATCATCAATTCCAACGGGATTAGTATATTTTTTTATACATTGGTCATAAAAACTTCAATTATGGTGACTAAATTTCAAGAACTTATTCAGAGCAATATAATCACCATTCAAAACTGAGAAAAAAATGAAATCTAAATAAAAGAATTTATGTGATTAAGATTTATAGCGGCTAACAGTCATCAACGAAAGTTGACATTATTACACACTTTTAACTAACAATCAACAAGGAGTTTTGAAAAATAAAAATCCAATTGGATTACAATCCATATATTCCCTTTCACCTTTTATTTCTTTTATTTATTTTTTTCAGGGGCGAGGGGAGGGGTTAGAATTCAGTTATACAAAATTCGGATCAAATGAGAAAGGTTTCATTCATTACAATGAAATAGAAAATATAATTTATATGTGAATGTTTTTCAAGGGAGATAATGTCAAAAATAACATTCATGTATCTTACCAGAATTCTCTTTCATTTTCATGACGCATTTTTAACCTTTCGTCATAGCTTAACGACTTCCATTCCGGTGTGCTATAAAACAAAATAAAGTAAAAGAATTTAATATGAATATGTTATAATGAATGTGTTATTATAAATATGCCGATTCTATTAATATCATGCTGTTTAGAAAAAGAGTCAAATTAATTTGAATTGCATACAAATCCTGCGATTGCCTAAATATTATTCTTGAATTAATTGTTTCCAGTACAAAACAATTTTGCTTTGAAAAGTCGATAAAGGAGAATGGTTGCTGACAACCAAATTACACCTTTGAAGAAAGTAAGCGAGCTTTAATGGTCCCTCATCTATCTAAATAGTAGTGGTGGAGCCAGAATTATGACTGCTAGCTATCATTAAATATTTTTAAGTAAAGGACTCGTTCATTAAGTGGTCCCTCATCTTTGAATCTTCCTATGCGGTAGTGATGAAAATAAGCAACCGCAAGTAAGATCTAGTGATAATAACTAAATGATCCTGTTTTTAAAAAGCAACTAAAATCATAAAACAGTTTAGGGACTAAGATTTGAATTATCATTTTCAAACAATTTGTAATGATATAACTGTCACTGAATATTTCACGAACGCTTACTGTTCAGCCCAAGGTCCGGACCATTTTTGAGTGCCCCATGGATTACTTAGGCGGATCATAAACATTGTTCCATGTCCTGTTTTACTGCTTATGTCAACGTCTACGACTTTAGTGATATTGTAACCGTGACCTAGAATTAGACCATGGTTTGTTGTTCTGTCAATGTCCCCTTTTTTACACTGAAGAAAAATAAAAATGCTACATAAAAACGTCTATTATATTCTGCCAGTTGTTATCATTTAATGTATGTACAACTATGCTATCATATTTAAAGAAAACTCTGTGTATATGTTATATAATAGATCTATAACGTTTGTAATGTCGCTTTTCATTGGATAATCATGAAGTTTACATATACACATTTGCTGTCAAGTCAGAAGGAGTGTGTTCCGTAATCATATTGTCTCGTAAATTTTACATTTACCTCACCTAGATAGCGACCTTTGTTCTTCTCTGAAAATTAACGCACATAATTTTTAAGAAATACAGCGTTTTCATTGGATGACAAATCAAGTTGGACACTAAGTATGTTTGTATTAATCCGAAGCCGTTCTACATAAATTAAAAACATCGACGGGAATTTCATTTGGCTTCATTAATATTCACTTAATAACGTCATGACTATTTCCATGCGATTCTATGAAGCGTTATAAAAAGTAGAAGGCTACTATGAAAGGAGTTTGATATACTATCGACTTTGTTTTTCTTTGAAAATTATTCTATAAGATTGATAAGATATACAGTGTTTTCGTTAGATGACAAATAAAGTACATTTATGTTCTGACTAAATAGCAAAAGTGATGATGGCCATGATCAACCAGTACGGGTGTGCTTGCTGATCTTGGTAAGCAATGGTGGCATGGTTCTTAGCAGTCTAAGTTTGTTTAAAACAACAAAATGCTGTAAACGCATATATAATTTGGAAATGTTTCATTACATCGATATTGCAGTTAAGTAGTGCTCTGTCGTCCATAGCATCTTTAAGTTTTTTAAATAGGTCACGCTGACTGTTTGGATCATTTGGCTCAAAGTTTGCCAACACCAGTTTCTCGGCAACGCCACCGGTAAAATCAACCAAAGAATCAGATGCTCGGCCATATCCCATAGTCTCGTAATCACCGTACAATCTGAAATCATTTTTTCCAGATCATTTGACTATTTTTGTACAATTTTACTGACTGTATCAATTGGAAAAGCTTGCATTTTGTCTTGGAACGTGTAAATAGGTTAACAAAAAGTAAAATCATGTTTTTTATTTTAATTATAATTTCAAAAACATTGGAGTATATTTATAGAAAACTGTATAAAGTTTAATCCATTAAAAGTAAATAACTGAATATCTGAATCTCGCACTCTTCATTTTGCACTTTTAGGGCAGTTTAAGGTGCTGCCGTGTATTTATGTTTTTTTCAGAGCTTCTTCCAAACTTGTAATACGGATTTCTGAGGACTAAACAAAAAAGGTGATCCCAAAATAATTTAAGTATTGAGTTCTGTTAATAACAAAAGAAAATAACACCATATTGTTGCATACTTGGCATACGCTTTCTCCAACAAAGCGCCCCAGAATTCATTTCCTGAGTTGGAATGGCAGAATACAAGTCTTCCATTTTTTGTCGGTAATCTGTCATCAACGACAACTTTCTTCCATTCACCATACCTCCATAAATGGAATTTGAATATACCAGCATAGGTTGGTTTCGATTTCTCCTCATATTTCCATTCCTGGTTCTTGAGATCTGGTACTACCTGGAGGATTAATTAATTATGAGAATATGTAAATGTATACAAATGGCTAATACTATGTGATAGAACACTTCACAAATTATAAAAAAGGAAATGTTTTAGTTAATATATATATGTCTTCGTCAAGTTTCATCTGAAAGAAGCGTTCTTGTTTGGCTGTGTAAGAGAGTCCATATCCTTTTGTATTCTACACTGTTTATTGTGCATTTTATCTAGCGTAAAAAACAGATGGGAAGAAATTAGGTTCCGAATCGAGATCATGTGAGCTGCTCACGTGTTCATGAGTGTACCAGTGGTCGGTAAGACACGTGCTTTTTGTGATAACTTAGTTGACAAGAAAATGTCTAGTTCTGCTTCTAGTGGTTTGAGCCTTAGACATTAATAATGGGAATATAGATTTGTATGTTTGCTTTATCAACAATCAGGTATTATATTTATGCCCTAACTCCACCCTTGTAACTTTTCATGGCTATTTACAGTTTATCAGAATTTCGAAGTGGCAATATCAACTCATCCATTGTATGATGAGTTGTATGTAAAGGTATATAATACAATTTGGTACAAGTAAATGTACTTCTTTTCTGATAACTTAACGTTTTGTTTTATTTGAATTCTGGACTTCTCGGCATTTAATGTGATATAATGTAATTTCGTAACCCACCGGATTAAGGACTAAACACAGTTTAAAAAATGTAAAGCAAAAGACGTCATGACCATCTAGCTGAAAAGAATTTTTAACTAATCCTAATTTAATGTAACTTTATTTGTATTTAAAGCCAAAGGCGTCCGTGGTCGAATGTTTTAGGTCGTTGGCTTCAAAACGAATGCCCCTAACCACTTTAAGTTCGAATACCGGCAAGGACTTTGAATTCTTACATGTGAGGAAGCTTACGGAACGTCTGGTGATTCTCATCGTCTTCTCGACCGTACCTAAAATTGTGCACAGAGAGGCACCTGAGGTCTTCCTCAACCAGTAAAGTAAGAATTTCGTCATATGAATTTTATTGTGTTAATGGAGTGCAAAGCCCAACCAAAAGAAGAATTAATACAAAAAACTTATTAATTAATAAAAGGAAAAAACTGCTAGACCAAATGCAAGCCCTTGTAAAAGTTACTAAAAAGAAAATTTATTGTAAGAAATAAATAAGGACATTCAAGATTAAAGTACTCACTGTGTTGAAAAGTGTCCTCTCTTTGGTAAGACTAGCACACGCAGTGACAAACCACGGGTTCCCTAATTCTCCTTGGTGTAGATAATCTGTATTCGCACAATCAACAACTAGTTTTGGTGCCATACAAAGTTCCTGATAAACAAAATACGATATATGGGTATTGTTTGATTTTATTAACCTGTCAAATACATACTTATTACACGGTCATTGCACTCAGTATATTAATCTTCGGTAGATTTTCGGTAAGTTTCGTAAGATGTACACAGTACGATAGAATTAAATTTCATTTGTATCTATGAACTTAGTGTCCTGATCGTTATAGCGCAATAGGGTACGAGTTAATAATCTAAGTGTCATACATGTTTTAAGTTCGAGACTGCGTTGCTCCATGTTTTTTTTCCTTAATAATATTTTCATCATTATTGAAGTTAAATATGTTTTTTATGTTGTTCGTTTTGTTTTATAATGTTTAACTTATTTTTTTAAAGTCTATACTCTTTTTAAATAACACGCTTTAAGAATTCATGTTTAAAATTAATTCGGATTAAAAGCATTAATTGTTGTTTCAATGCCTTAAAGCACACTACAAATTGATTCAATTTAAAATATACTTTAAAAATAAACGAGTAGGCGTAAAACAATGTCTGTCGGGAATTGCGCTCATATGCATGTGCCTTTAAATGACACCAACGTATGCGTGACGTTAGAGTACGTCACTTCCAATGTTTTGTAATATAAACGTTAGTAGTTTGAATAGACGTATAAACCAGACACAACGTGTTGTACATTATTATCGTAGTATAATACCCTATCCGACATTGGTGCCGTGACGAAAACATTATGAAGATAGATAAATTGCGATCAGTGAGAGAAGGTCAACGAAGATGTGTAGAAATTCAGCTTGAACGAATTGGAAGGGGGAAAGAGAATTCATCGATGATAGAATTTAACGCAATTCTCGAGGCCATTGTCAGAAAAGCAGAGACGATCAAATCCTTAAACGAAAAGATTTTAGAACTAACGGAAGTAATCGATATCGAGGAGGAGGTAGTAAACAGTGAAGAATATGGATTAACGTTGGAGATAAAGGTGAGAGAACTTCGAGCTTATAGCGAAAACAAAAAAAGCAACACTGAAGAACAACAGAATGCTTATAGCGAAGCAACTAACCCTCAAAACCAGAACAAAGACAGAAGTGGTTCTTTAACCGAAAATAATAACTTGAAAAATGGTAACAGTTCTTTGCAAAATGTGAGCACATTTCATCAAATACGTCGCTTTATCACAGACTGCCGAAATTATCGCTACCTGTATTTAGTGGTGACATTCTCGAATGGCAAAGTTTTTGGGATGCTTTTGATTCCTCTGTTCATCAAAACCCGAATCTTACAGAAGTACAAAAATTTAATTATTTGAAGACGCAACTAGAAGGCAGTGCGGTTCAAGTTATTCAAGGATTTGCACTTACGCATGCAAATTACATTCAAGCAGTCGATTTACTGAAGGAGAGGTTCGGACAGTCTCATAAAATCATTCATGCGTATATACAGGCGTTACTAAACCTGCCAGCCCCGAGCAATACTCTACACAGTATGAGAAACTATTACGACAAATTAGAAGCTTATATTCGCGGATTGGAATCGATAGGTCAGTGTCAAAATACGTACGGAACTCTATTAGTTCCAGTCATTATAGACAAACTTCCGGCAGAAATTCGAAAGAGTTTAGCACGAGAAAATGGCAACGATGAGTGGTTATTAGAAACTTTACGAAAAGCGTTATACCGTGAACTGGATATCATGGAGGCCGGGCAGACTACAGATGATTTAACAGGTTATAGATCTACAGCGTCGTTTTTCACGGACGCGAGACAGAAAACAGGAACCGGAAGTCACGTGACACAGAATTCCGCACGCGAAACGTTTGATGACCAGGAACAGTGTATATTTTGCAACGAATTTCACAATACCAAAAACTGTACAAAAGTAACTGATGTGAGAGCTAGAAAAGACATTTTAAGAAATAAGCATTTATGTTTTAATTGCTTGAATATAAACCACCAAGTTATTAATTGTCCATCAAACTACAAGTGTTTCAAATGTAGAAGAAAACATCACACTAGTATATGTGAAAGTAGTCCAGATTCAAATCTAAATATCGGTGCTAGCGAGTCAACCCAATCTTCAACCGAATATCAACTCACAAATCAAGCACAGATTGCAATTTTGCAATCAAGCGCCGCACATGAAGCGTTCATAGATTACGACACGTAGAGAAACGTTAAAGAGAAATGAGAAGAAGTACAGTTATTATTGAAATTTCAGGAACACAGACTATAAACATTTATAAGATATATGAATTATCAATTGAGAGACATTTGTGTTATTTTAAAATAATGACTTTTTATTTAAGTGTATTATAGAAAAGAGTGATATCTGAGATTTGATGAAATTAACTGAGATTGATTTTAATAATTTATCATTTTGCGGCCCCCAGAATGTCGGGAATTGCGCTCATATGCATGTGCCTTTAAATGACGCCAACGTATGCGTGACGTTAGAGTACGTCACTTCCAATGTTTTGTAATATAAACGTTAGTAGTTTGAATAGACGTATAAACCAGACACAACGTGTTGTACATTATTATCGTAGTATAATACCCTATCCGACAATGTCATTAGAAAGGACCGAACCACAGACCTCTCAATTATCAAGCATTCCCTTAACCAACTGTGCTATTGTGAATTAACGAAAACCTTCACATTAAGCTGGTGTGACTGTCACAACATGGCTAATATACTCCACATTAATTCTCGTAAACTACACAGACCAAACCGAAGTGGGATCGAATAATTTAATGAGTGGTTTAATGTATTCATAATTGACAGGTCAATAAAATCAGACTATTTTAGATATTTGATCACTTTTAGGTGTTATTCTAAAATAGCATAAATCATATTGACTTCTTTTTAACTACATTATTCTGAATCACTTGGTATACCGACAACTTTCTTTTCGTGTGATTGGTTGCTTATCAGGATTCATACAAAAGTTTGGAAACAGTAAATAGTAATGATGAATTGATTAAGTCATACCAATTAATGAATCGATAACTTTATATCAATTTACAAACTGGTAAAGCCATATCATTTTAAACCTGTTTACTTCATGGCAATTAATAAAAGTGTGACACGATACAAAGGAATAAACTGTTTACCTCAAAAAAATTAATAAAATGGTGACATGACCCTCTATTATGATACACCAGTCATCCCATACCAATGAATCAAGCGGCAACATGAAACTAACAGTTGCATCATAAACAATTTATAAAATGGTGACATGATACTAATTGACAAATCAGTACTTCAGAAACAATTTTTAAAATGGTGACAAGATACTTATTGACAAACAAGTAACCTCATCCCAATTAATAAGCTAGTAACATGATACTTATTGATAAACCAGTGACCTATTACCACAAAAAACCGTTAACGTCCATGAATAAACTGATAGTGGTTAAATGTTTACCATTCTAATCAATAAATTAGGAACTTGAAACCAATTTTAAAGTGGTTAGTACATCATACTTATTAAAAAACATGGTAAAATGTTTGTCTTACACCGATTGTTACAGTTGTTACAACATGTACGTCATACGCCAAATATACTTATCTAATGGCTATGATTTTAACTGGTTACGTAATACAAAATGATAACTTTGTTACATTACACAAATTGAAAAACCGGTTACGTCATGCCTGTTTGTTATTTTATGTCATTCCAATTTATAAACTGTTTCCACCCTTCCAGTTAATTAATCGATTATTTAATGCCAACTGGTGAACCGGTTACTTTTAAGATGCAAGTTTCTTATATTCGCATTGGAAATATGAGTCAGGGGTGCCAGAATTACTTTGTTTTTGCATAATTATCATAAACTCATGATACCCTAGACTTATAAGTAGGAAACTTATATCCCTTAAGTACCCTTTACATTAAAGTAAGTTTTATACCACACAGGATCAGGTGTATCAGATTGTTAATATCATTCTATAAAATTGACTCATTTTAAATGTATTTATATTATATATCAAATAACTTTTTTACGAACATACCCCTGGTCGTTTCCATACTATGTCGTTTTCAACCCTGCTGAAAAACAGAGATTTACTTTTGGCTGGAAATTCATGATCCTCGAAAAGTTCATTTTTCTTTAGGCAGTCACTCTTTATTAAAGAGTATTTTTGGTTATTGAAGTTCTTCGGCATTTTGATGTGTTAAATTTGTCCTGTATTTATGCTAAGTGTTCAACTTTCTGTAAATTGAAAGAACCATTTTTTAACATTTTTTTAAATCATTATAAAACTATCCCCTTAGCATACCTTTATATGTCGACTGTTGTCGTCTATGAACTTAGATATATTGGTAACGTTGTGTAATGTTTACATTATTTGTGTTTGTGACGTGTTTTACTTTACACTGTATTTGTTTTACGTTATATTGCGTTTGTTACGTTGTGTTACGTTATATTGTATTCGTTACGTTGTGTAATTTAACACTGTATTTATGGTGTCTTACGTTGTAATACGTTACGTTACGTTGTTTCGTTGTCTAACGTAAATCTTTGTCTGAGTGTGCAATCATTGTATTACGTTACACTGTATTTATTGCTTGTGTTACGTTATACAGTATTGGTCTTGTTACGTTGATTAAAATTAACAACATGCAGGTAACGACTTCGATACGCCGGACGTTTATATTCAATTCAATTCAAAAAGTTTATTACCATATCATCACATGTACAACAAATACATCACACTCAAAATGAATAAAACTGATAAAAGTACATAAGCCATTCAATACAAAATTTAATCACATACCCTCGCCGTTTTTTGCGACAAGGCCGTGCATACATTTTGGCGTGACTTACACTCATTCAATATCCTTTATATAAAATTTTTTAAAATACTTTAATTATGTATTAAGTACTAGAATGTATAAAATGATAAAAACATTACTCCTGGCCAATTGAACAAATTCCCAGCTGTAAGATCCATAACACTCTCTGATTTAAAATAGCTACATTAAAAAGAAGACTAACCTACTTTATAATGAACAAACGACGTTTGGTAAATAATGATTTTGTATCGATATTGTAAGGTATTGTATGAACCTTAACAAGGAAGTATATTATTATAGATCTACAACCTGATTTTCTGTTAACTGACACGTATATCGATTAGTCGATACATGTATATTTAAATATATACTATCCTAATAATTGCGTAAAATATTTTATCACAGAAGTTTTTTGAAAGCTATGTAATTCTTACTGACTTTGTCCAATTTGAATAAAAAATGAATAAATTATGTTTTGGAAGCTGCGTGCCATATTACAGGTCTAGTAAAATTGGTCTTTTCTTAATAAATCCTCGTCTGCCATGTTTTTTTTTAATGAAAGAAAATATTCATATTGAATTACCTATAGTGAGTAGAATTTTAAACACAATATATCTTTTATGTGTTAAAACATGTTTATTTTATTTTTACAAAGAGAATGTGTAGCTATTAAAAATACTTTGAAATAAGAAATTTAGCATAGTATATAGTTAAGTTTAGTAAATAATGTTATCAGAATACAAAAATATTTTTCTTAAATGCGCCATATTAAAACTGGATTAACTTTTCTTAAAATATTCACAGTTAATATGCAAATTAAAGTTTACACTCAATTTAAAAAAAAAAGAAAACAATGTTTTTTTGTTTTTTTTCAAAACTTAGTGAAATTTGAGAGCTCCGAACCAAAGAATAAGATACAAACTAAACTGTATCACACAACCACACGCACGCACACACGCACGCACACACACACACACACACACACAAACACACACGCACACACACGCACACACACGCACACACACACACACACACACACACACAAACGCACACACGCACACACACACACACCACATCAAAACCAACTAAATAATCAATTCTATACCTTGTATAAGTCCGTACTTTAATATCGATTTGCAAATTTTTAAATAAATCATGATTATTTTCTTGTAAAGTTAATGTAATAAACAACTCTGAAGAATGACACATAAATTAACTAACGTCCAGTTTCAATACGTAAATCAGGAAATTGCTTTGATAGCTTAAATAGTGTCTTCATATAATTGCATTTTTTTCACAACCCAATATAAAAATGTTTCACTTTAAATCTTACGTAGAAAGGGAGTAAATTTAACGGTATTTGATTTTCAAAAAATCTATATCAAAACACGTACTAGCTTGCTTAAAGGACATATTTACTGGTTTTGTTCAAGTTGAATACAAAGGAGAAAAAGACGGTAAAATATCATGGGTTTAATTCCATCCTGACTGGTGGTGATGGTTTTGGTAGTTTTCCCTTCGGATCACGACAGCAAAGCCACTTAGAGGTTACCAGAGCACAGGCCAGCTACCGCATCGTCCCTGAGCAGTTTGTCAGGCAATTTACAGATTTCCTTCTCTTCCGATCAAGGAACTGATAACTTCTGTACATTACAGAGTAGAGGTGCAGTGCGAATGACCGTAGAAGAGATTTCATGATCAATGACAACAAATAACCAGTAACCGAGCCTGGGTCGACGATTCACAGCCCAAAGCTCCACCAGTTTATTAAACCTGATTATTACCCATTCTGAGTTTAGTTCAGATCATCTTATATAGTAGTACTGTGTTATGTAAAAGGTGATTTTAATCTGATTCATGAAAGTTTATGTAACCCTCCTTTCTTTTATAATTAAAGGTGATCTAAATAACGTGCACTATGACCAGCTTCAAATTTTCATCTTGATATCCCTGAAAATGATATTAACTTTTTCGCGCATTAACACAGGCAGATGCACGATAACGCATTTAAAACCCGGAAGATTGAATAAAGCCCGAAAGCCGCCGATTTTCATGAATAAAGTGTACATAATTCGGTTATTCCGCGTTTCGGCCTTTTTTGTTTGTTTATAGTATGAAGAAACAGGTTTCGTAATGCTTTTCTAATTTTAACAATGAAAATTTCATTGTCAAATATCATCCTAATTAAAATGGATATTTTCTTTATATGATATTTACATTTTCAATATGATATGTATGGTGTGATGTTGATTTAAGAAATGAATAACGACGCTACTCTTTAACCAAAGTTGATGCCATTTTGAATGTTCTTTTGGCCGGAGGCCTTATAATGCAAAAAAAAAACAACGTTGTTGTTGTTGTTGTAATTTTAACGCGCATATGCATTACTGGGTCAACTATTTTTGCGCACCTGCCATGTTCACACTTACCGAAATAGTGCACGTCTGTAACGGCAATATCCTCTATTTATATGACTTGACTGAAAATATTTATTCTTAACAACATCTACATGAACTAACGTTCATATCAACAAAATTATATATACATTTATACAGAAAACCGTCTAAACATTTTCAAGCAGAATATTTTATTACTATGATGATAATTAGTGGTGTTGGTAGTTTGACACTCCGGATCACGGCAGCAAGCCACATTGAATTCACCAGATCACAGCTCAATCACCGCATTGTTCCTGGACAGGCTGCCCAGCAGTTTACCAGTACTAGTTGCCTTTACTTTCGCAAGGAACTGATAACTTCTGTACATGCCAGAGTAGAGGTACAGTGCGAATGACCGTAGAAAGAATTTCATGATCAATCACAACGAAAGTGACCTGCGCCGTCCGGGAATCGAACCCGGGTCGCCCGATTCACACGCTCTACATATTTAGCTAACCGGACGGCTTATGATGATACTTATGTATGTATGTAGTCTATGCTTAAAGAAGGTCCATCCGCCCGTAAGGGCACAAAATGCAGCTTTCGCTGTCAAGTACGGACCCCGGATATGTCACCATCCATGCCCTTAAAGAGTTAATTTTGAAGCAAAAAGTGTTGATAATTTACCTCAATGCAATTTCCACGGAGTATTAGTCAAAGAGCCAATAGTAGGTCACTGCACGGCGGTCAATGAGAACCTAAATGTACAGTAACCTGTGACAATATGAAATGGTAGCCCTGAAAAGGGCTGTTGGTGCCAGCAAAAGACGTGCCATTCAAGCCGTCTAACCGTACTAAGGGCTCACGCACCTTAGCACATCATCCTCGTTGACCTAAGCGCCTACTTTGTAGGACCACTCCCCTCGGCTTTAGTCAGGACATCGGCAGCTGGTCCGCAGCACAAGTAAGTTCCGACCTTTTTTCGCCGTCCCCAGTCTTCAAATCTTCTGCCGATGCCCTGTGTCTTCTCAACGACGTACACGTATCGAGGGGAAGAGAGAACCGATGATAAATATATATAGCAAATTATCACTGGAGTGCAAGTATTAGTTACCCGCAATCAAGAGCATGCCCATTGATTGGCTCATTTTTTTGCTGGGGTTTAATTTTTGTGACGATAGAGAAAAATCATATTCAGATGCATGTTTATTGATTACTTTTTTATGAGTTTCATATTGTGACACAGGGAATGTGTTTATTATGTTTTGACTATGATACGAGAGAAAGAACATCAAAACACTCGACAATCTGATGAGTACTCGGGGCTACGCCTCTTGTACAAATCAGATAGCTTGGTGTTTCGGTGCTCTTTCTGTTACTTATACATTATCAAAGATCGATTTTACCCCTGTTTTTGTTTACATGATAGAACTACTAAATTACAATCCATATGAGCCGCCGCGTCTCGACAAAACAAACATAGACTAAGTGTGTTTGCTTTTGCGACCGGAATGGATCCAGACCAATCTGCGCATCCACGCAGTCTGATCATGGTCCATGCTGTTCGCTATCAGTTTCTCTATTTGTAATAGGGTTGGTAAGCGAACAGCATGGATCCTGATCAGACTGCTGTGGATGCGGTCCAAGGTTATCATTAATAATAGCTAAGATGTTCCGATTGCCATACCACCCTGTAAAACTCAATATTATATTATACTTTAGAACATGTCACCGACAGCAAAATGCTTTTTCTTTTCATATATACTAAATCTATAATTCTGCCAGCTATTGATATATTGACAAATTGTTGTTTTATAAATATTGTGGTATTATGGTCAAATGAAAATATTTATGAGAAAAAAATCGAAGGTTTGCTTGAAATAAAACAAGTATATACAGGTATATTGATTGAAGGCTGTTTTTTTTCTTTAGATGATAAATCTACCGTCTGTGCTTTTTGTTTGTTTAATCTTCTATTCGTTATCTCTGCTCTTAAACTAAATATCGCGCGACAAAAATGCGTATCTGCGGAATGAAATAAATTACATGCATTTTTTTTTTAGATAACGACACCTGAATGGATATATATTAAGGGAGTTTAAGCAATGTGGAGTTTTAAAACAAAAATGTCTAAATATCAAAAAGTTGGCGTATTAATTTGTACACTAGCTGTGATTTTATATGTGTTGACATTTGTAATGGAGTCGTATCAAAGACCCGAGGTATGTGTTTAAATTGTATTAGTTATTTTCAAGGTTATATGGTCAAGTGTAAAAGGTTTATTTTAATACCATATAACCTTAGCCACTTAGCAATTGTGACCATCATATAACCGTTTACTTACGGCCATATAATTATAATATGTCAAGAGTGAGTATTAAGAATTCATTTTTCTTTTTTATTTGCCCGTTTGAAAAAAGGCGTCTTATTATAGTTTCCCTAATTTTCTCTGGCTGGCGGGAATTCTGACGAGCTAGCGGGCGGGTGGTCGGCGTCCAAATTTGTCCGAAGCATATCTCCTACGCGCATGGAGGATTTTAATGAGAAGCTGTGTCGTGCGAAAAATTTAAGTCTCCAAGTCAAAGGTCAAGCTCACACTCAGAGGTCATTAAATCAAAGTGCTGAAGGCACTGCAGTTGGGACGTACTTGAAGGATCACAATAAGGGTGAAGGGTGTTGCCGGTTGATAAATATAAAGTGCACAATTCAGTAAATGAACAGTAGTTGATACAATCATTCTATGACACACATGTTCAAATATAATATTTAGGTTACATGTACGTGAAGGTCCATCACAAACCGTTATTGGCTCTTTTTGACAAGAGCAACAAGTGAAATAAGCGTTACCAGAGGAAACTGCAAGCTCGACTATTTTAACACATGACATAATAAAGGGAGACAAAGCTTTGAAAAAATAATCAATTGTGATATAAATATATTAAATTTTCTGTGTCAGTATCAAGAAAAAACACTCAAATAGTCAATATTTATTCATGAATGTGGCCATGTCATTAGAACTTATGATGGCTTTTGTTCACTGTACTTTTCATGCTAATCTCTTTCACTGTATGAAGTTTCAATCAAATTCCTTCAATATTTTAATCCTCTCTCTCTGGACAACAAAATTACAAGGGAATTGCAGACACGGTTTCATTGAGTCTGTACATGAGGGATAATGAATACGTGCAACATTGAATAAAATATTTAAACCAGTTGAAAGTTGTTAAAAATGTAATAACTGAAAATATGAAAATAACCTTAATGGTTTTGTGCTGTTTAACTAAAAATCTGAATAGTAGCAAGCCCTGTTTTAATCTATATGAACAAAAAAAGATCTAATAATTCAAGATGGCTGCCACTTAAAACAAAGAAAAGATATTAATGAATCTTAATTAACTCTGTAAAAAAATAATTACTAATATTATTTACAAATTTATCAAAAATATTTCAGTGAATTTAGATAATGTCTAAGGTTCATTTAAATGCCAAAGTGCCTAAAATAAATTAAAAGAATAATTTATTAACCTTAGAGACCTTTTAGAGATGTTACTTTTCCAAAAATAAGCAGCAAAACACAAAATTGTGCAAAGTGCCTGTATATATGCACAGTACTGGGAACCAGGACTTTGTGTGGAACCAGGAAATGCAGAACTGTTCTGATTGGTCAAGGAATCTTAGCCAATCAGAGTTCATTAGGGCTTAACATAACTACTAAGTTTTCTAAAAATAGATTATGATTCATGGGAAATTTTGCAACAGTATCAATTGACCATGATCACAAAAATAATACAGTAATACACTTTTACAAAAATATTCTAAACAATAAAACTAGAAAGTAATATCAACTAAGCATATTCACAAACATATATAAATCATTAACAATATGTATCTCACTTAGTTTAAAGGCCAGTGTAAATGAAAGTAGAACCATTCTCTATATATTGTATGTAAGGAGTCTTAGGCCATGCTAAGTTACTGTTAAAGAATGTATCAAAAGGTTCTACATACTATAATCAACATTAAACTAATGAATGATAAGAATGAAATGTCTATAACACAATACATGTTCAATATGATTAAACTTTAAAATAAACTTAAATCTCAGTTAAAGTTTAAAGCCTTTAATATTTCTTGAAAAATATTCCTAAAGATTACACATGTTATACTTCTTGAGCAATATTATGCAATATTATATGATAATTATATATCCTGTTGTAGTTTACAACATCCCCACAAGTACAAGTCTGTATGGAATGAACACAGATATTTATCCATAACATTCTTGAGTCCATACAGACAGATGGCTAAGACCGCAACTGTAATCTCTCCCTTTTGGGAGCATCAATTAAATAACATGCTAAATCTCCGTATGGTTCTTTATCAGATACCAGTATTATGAACATTGCTTTTGTACCTTTTGAGTAATATCAGAATTCAGATTTCATTGACATAAAGAAAGGCGTCAGCCTTTAGTCCCCTCTTGGTGAAAACAGAAGGGGACGAATAACAACAATTTATTCTAGTTTCAATTCATTAAACCAGGCAAGCTAAGATACATGTTATAACTTATGAAGTATGCTAGCGTTGAATGTATTTACAAAACATTGCTGAACATTATACAATATTTTAATAAATTTTGGAATGTGCAGTCATATGTTACATAAATCCCAGGAGCTTCAATCCATGGAAACTTTTGGGGAAATCAGTCAAAATATCACAATTGATTTAATTTATCACTGCTGGGTAAGTCTGATGGTTTTGTTTGAAGCCAAAACAACTAGATTTAACATTTTCCTTCAACACGATGCTCATGATTGGCCCTTTACTATTGACAGGGGATTCAACTGAAGTGCTAACACAGACTACCCCTCTAAAATAGTCCAACTAGTTCCACGTGTACATGGTGCCTATACAGTTATGATCACTACATCTGGAAACTTGAGATTCCCACAGACTGTGATGCTAATTTTCATTTGCTTGACAGTGACACATGTCCACCTTAAAAAGTGCATTTAACAATTATATGAAGTGCAATAATTTGCAAAAAATGCTTATTTGTCTCTTCATTACATTTAATGCAGAGCACTAGATGTGTGTGTCCGTCATACAAAATGACTTTCAATAACACTATTTAAATATATTTGAAATACAATTTCTTCAATAAATACTCACAGTTATACTAAACTCCTTCTTTGTGATATTTTTTCTGTCACATATGTTAAGACAGTATACAATTAATTTGTTTTGACTGCATACAGTTTAAAGGTATAATTATTTATTTGCTACAAATAAATTTAAATAATGTTAATTTTAATAACCAATATGAATGTTTCAAAGATTATCCCTTCTAACTTTAAAGACAGCCTGTCAATTAAGCTGATCTTAGCAATTAAGGCACACTAAGCAGAAAAAATGGTCAATCAAAGGGTAGGGAAACATTTGTATACATATTTAAATCATTTGGTGGGGAAACAATAACATCACAGCTGTGCTTTGCTATTGAATATTTTCATTTGTTTCAATTTTGAATAATCAAAATGTAAACAATGTTCATAAGGATGAACTGTATTGTAAATTTTGCATGCATATTGAGGTCTTGTTCAAGGCAACAAAAATGTATTGTACATTTTGCAGTTCCTTGTAATGGCCCTGTATGATTGATTTGTACCACCTTAAAACACCATACTATGATATTTCATGTAATGATCATTTTCAGCAAAGGAAAAAGACTGTCATAGGCAGTTTCTTAATGCCAATGACAGAAATATTTAAAGTATGTTTCTTAACTAACACTATAATAAACTGTGAGCATGCACTGACACTCTTTTATTTTAGGCGGTACTATATATGAACAAGTCTTGGACTATTTCAGCATGTAGATTAGAAATGCAAAAAACTAAACAATTTCATTTTCAAGCCTTTTCCCCTAGACATTTTGGGAAATATTTACCTAGCACAGGTTAGAAAATTTTGTATTTTTTTGATTGGGAAAAATATTCAGTACCATGTACAAAGTTGTTAATCCAACAAATTACAATATATCATTCAAAGCATAAAAAATACATAAAAAAATTGACAATGAAAATTGTGTTTTTGAATATCATCCTTGTCTGGTACCATTATTGGATTTTGAAATTGGAAAATGAAAAAAAATTGGGTCAGCTTTGATAACGGGAATTTTTTGACCTCGAATTATGATTTTTTTCTAAACTTGGAAAAAAATAAGCATATTTTGGCATTAAATTTGCCACTTGGGAATGGGTTGGTAATCTGGCCCGTAAATCTTGGTCACACTGGTAAAAGGCATATGTTTTTTAATGAATAATTTTTTGGAAAAAAACAGTTTTGATTTGTGAAATATACAATCAAATATTTACAAAAGTAAACCTGTTTGTTTGTGAATAATCTTCTTGTCTTTTCCTTTTAAAATGCTTATAAACCTTTTTTTTTCTAGCTACATGTACCAGCCTTTCCAAGTGAATATTGGAGTAAATGATCTGTTATTTCCCTGAAAATATCAATTTAGAGATTTCATCTTCAAAATTATCTAATACTACTGTCTTAGTGTGTGTATATACAATGCATATATGTGTATATACAATGTATATATATGTGTACACTATAATATGATTATGTACAGCATGTAATGACATAAAATTTGAAAATTTATGATAATAATATTTCTTCATATTACTGCACAATATTACCACTAATATAGAAAATGTTCTAATCATTTTATTATGATATTTATTTATTACATGTAGATTTGTAATTAAATTTGAATATCAGTATTATCAAAAAAAATTAAATGTCTAATTAAATCTGATTAAATTACTTCAACCATGAAGTGAGAACAGGTATAGATCATTTCCAACAGCCTTGTGTTGACATTTTCGCAACATGGTTGTGTGTCTGCCGTGTAATCAAGAGGTCTTGGGTTCAAATCCCTTTCATTGCCTGAATATTTTTCAGGTTAACAAGTATCATGGTGGCAGTGATTTTTTTTCAATTTTCAAAACAACCTGTGGCTTTCTGAAGGTGAAAATATAGCTTGATAAATCAGAAAAGGGGAAAATCAAATTCCAACCACTGAGAATGGATTTTACCCATACATTTAAAAAAATCAATTCTAATTCAATTTAAAGGGATTCCACTGTGGTATTTTGACATGATGGGACTGAAAATATTTTTTCCAGATAAATGTACCATTTGATGTAAGTTT